TCACAACAAATGCTTCCTTTTTACCCGCTACCCCTTTCCTCACTCATCCAAAGGAGTTCATTTGCAGGCAAATTTCTGTCTTGAAATTTTTCTGGGGAATCCAATCTGAAACAATAATCTTGATACCAAAAATTAGAAATGATATTATAAGAAAGAAATATTATAAGTTACTACCTATCATGAGCATAGATGCAAAAATCTTAAAATTTAAAAACAGATTCTAGTGATATGTAATGGGGATGATACATCTTGACCAAGTTGAGTTTATTTCAGGAATTCATAGTTAGTTGTATAATTCACCACATTGGCAGGAGAAAAGAAGGAGAAAAATCATATCTTTCAAGAGATGAAGAAGAAGTCTTTGATAAAATTCAACATTTATTTAGGCCAAAAACCTCTCAGCCAATCAGTCATAGACACCGAGTTCCTTAATCTGATGGAGAAAAATCTAGAAATACTGTATAGCAAACATATAATTAATTGTGAAATATTGTATAGATTTTCTTGTGGTTGGGAAAGAGACAAAGACAGCCCATATCACAAGTTTTACTTATCATATTTTAGGCCCTAGCAATTGCTATAAGACAAGACAGAGAAATAAAAAATACAAGGATGGGGAAAATAACAGAATACCATTTTTTTGCACATCATAAACTTGTCTGTGTAAAAAACACAAAGATCTACAAAAATATCAGTATTAATAAGTGAAATTAGAAAGGTTATTGGATGCAATGCCCATATGCAAAAGTTATATTTTTATATATTAGCAAAACACAAAAAATAACTTTAAAAAATTCCGTTTATAATAGCTTCAGAAAGCACCAAATGAATACAAAACATGTGAAAGAATTCTTTACTAAAATTTCTAGATGTGGCTGAGTACAGTTAAAGAAAATATAAATAAGTACCTTGAGTACCTGGATTGGCAGACTCAATATCTCAGATTCTTCCCAAATTAAGCTATAGGTTCAGTGCAATCTCAATCAAACCCCACAGTATTTCTCTACTTCTTTCTTTCTTTCTTTCTTTCTTTCTTTCTTTCTTTCTTTCTTTC